GAGAGTTGTACAAAGATGGAAAAGCAGGAGCAACCTTAAACTCTGCTGTATTTTAGTGTTTAGAAGTACCACTGAAAAGGTGTAGATTTGGTTTATTATTTTGGCATCTGCACAGATTTGGACGCTGCTTTCCCACCCAGCGCTCACAGAACCATACTTCAGAAGCTGTTTCCCTGGACATGGAAAACAGAAGCATTGTCAAGTATCTTCTGTGAAAATCCACTTGTCAAATTGTAGGCAGCCTAGTTTCACTGTGTAAAAGTTGAGGCAGGATAAAATGCTGCATGGTGCTTCCTACCTTGTTCAGCACAGGCATGTTAGCAAATTCACCCCCATGTGCTGGCAGTTACAGTGATTTCTTTTTGCTCTTCCCAGAGGGGCCAGACCGGTTATTCCCCACTGCTAACTCTCCTGTTAGGTACAGCAAGACAGTGACTGTGCTACTGTGCTTTCTCCTGTTGCTCGCTCTCATCCCTGGCATTTCTTTGCCTTAGTTTAACAGATATTAGGGTTTTTTCCCCAGTGGCTTTTTTTGGCAGTATTCCCCAGTAGACCCTCAGGTAATCATGGACCATGTGGGGCCAGGGAATTGGTATGCCCTCTGCTTAGCAGCCTGGCTGGCATGTGCCACCTGTAGGAACTGCTGGGTGAAAAGCACAAGTGCCCTTTGTGAACAGCCTAGGGATTCAAAATCACAGGCAGTTTTCTGAGCATCCCTGGATAGGCTTTCAAGTGGCAAGATTGTTAAAAAGAAAAGAAAACACTGCTTTCTGTTTTCTGAATATATAGGGGTCACCTTAAAATTTTTCTGTAGGGCAAGGACTCTGTTTTGAAGATATCATATTCTTGTATAGATGTTCATGACTCTGGGAGATGGGTCATTTAGAGCGCCACCAGGTTAGGTCACAGTGTTCTGTCTCGCCAAACAATATTTTGTGGAAGAATGCATATTATTTCTTCAAAACTGTAGCCTGGAGGAGAGGAGGGAGAGTTCTTGGCAGAAACTTTTGCATGCAGCAGTGTGATAGAGCAGCCGGGGAATATACTGCATGCTAATAAAGTTCCTCTTCAGTGTGAAAAGTGTGTGCTTTGTGAGTGGCAGCAGGTCTTTTTTTACCTTTTGACATTCTAACTTGACCCATAATGAGGCATCCACCAGCACGCCTTTTCAGCCCTTTCCAAAGAGCTGCCAAAACTAAAGAGATTTTTTTGGAGAATAATCTGTGACCCAGCAAGGTTGGCGCTAAGGTTTGTTTGTTTTTCTCTCTCCCGCTGGTTCCTACTATTCTCTTACTCCCACATCCTATCCGACTCTTGTTTTCAAATGCATTCTTCAGCCTGCTCCTTTCCTACCTACTGCATCCTGTGTTCTGCTTTCTGACTTCCTTCTCTTTTCTTATAGCTTTTCTTTCCAGTTCCTGTTCATTCTGGTCCCTGAGGAGCGAGGAGTGAATCATTAACAGTTGCTGGGGGACCAAGTGAAGTGGCTGTAGCTGTGAGCGTAGAGTTCAGGTGAGGGCTCCGGGAGACATCCTTTGTGCACAACATTGTGCCCCGGAGCTCTCTGCACCACTTCATTGCTGGGGCAGGCAGAATGGAAATCTGTGCTTCGCCCACTTCCATCTACAGTCCAGGATTTAAGATAAAAATACTGATAAAAGTTGATCTTTGCTAAGATGATACAGATGTTGCAGTTACTGCAAGTTCGTTAAGGGGTGGTGAATTGCTCTGCTGTTGTCACTGAGACACTGAGTGTCTCAGTTACAAAGAAGTTGAAAAGCTTCAGACACAGGGTGAGCAAAGCAAGTGGGTTTGAATCTTCACACGTGTCTTGATAGGGGATATAGGAGTTGCAGGCACTTTGACAGTGGTTTGGAAAACATGTCATTTTGCAGTAAATTCAGCGTGCATACCCGTGTCTTCTTTTCCAAGTCGTACTGCTGCTGTTACATCAGTAGGGGATACCTCCCTGTGTTATCTGTACCTCTTTGTCGGTTGAGGATCACCATCCTCATAAATCTGTGCTTGTAATATGTGCAGGCACTTCCTGTGCTGGTCTCAACATACCCTGAATATAAATCACAGATATAAAATACTTACAATACTTATAATTTCTCCATTGAAGCGTTGCATGGTTAAGGCTGGAAAATTTAGGGGTTTTTTGCCCTTCTGAGGATAGACCTAATTTGTCTATCATGAGCTTTTATGTTGTCTGAGAAGACAGCTTTACTGGCTATATAAAGAAGAGCATTTTCCAGCTGAGGTTAGCTGTAGCCGCAGGTTTGGTTAGTCTGACCCTTGCAGTCCGCAAAATCTGCTTTCGGAAATGGAAACGTGCCTGGAAGAAGAAACTTTGAATGCAATGGTCACTGTGCTGGCAAATTCATCAGCCTGTGGTGCCCAGATGGTTATTGGCTGTGTGCTAATGTAATCTTCTGTCCTGCTGGTTTATTTATAAGCAGGGCTGATCCGTTTATGTATGGCTGCATATAACAATTGGTTTTCATTTTTTATCTTATTTTACACATTTTTGTGTATGCAAGATGAAAGGAGGAATCCACCTTGTAAAACAACCTTGGTATAAATGGATTGGTGAGTAGGTATACCTGTCCTTTTGGGGTATTATAAGCTTTTACCAACTCATCCTAACAGAAATAAATGTAAAGGAATTATAACCTGATGTATTTGTTATCTATATATACATGTATAAAATGTCATTGCTTTTCAGATTTCTAGATGATTTTATGTAGTTTTCAGTTAACTTTTGTAATTTAAAATATTTGCTTCAGGAATGTAACTGTTGTAGGTAGTTGTTTCTTGAAAGCCAACCTAGGTTATTAATGAAAAAAAAATAGATAAAATGAAGGTGATTTAAAAATGGAGAAATACACCAATATACATATATTTAAGGCACATCTTCTAACTTTTTTCAGATTGAAGAAACTTCTTGAGCAGGAGAAGATCTATCAAGCCCGGAAGGAGAAGGAGCATACAAAGAGACTCAACAAACTAAGAGAAGAACTAGTCAAGCTCAAATCATTTGCACTGATGCTGGTGGATGAAAGACAAATGCATATTGAACAGCTTGATCAACAAAGCCAGAAAATACAGGACTTAAATCAAAAACTAAAGGAAGAAGAAGAGAAGCTTAAAATTATTAGTGCAAAAACAAAAGAAGATGGACAAAAACTGATGAAGTTAGAGGCAGAACTTGAGCGCAAAACATCATCATTTTCTCAAGAACATGAGGAGATGACTGCTAAACTGGCTAATCAAGAGTCACATAATAGACAGCTCAGGCTTAAGCTAGTGGGGTTGACTCACAGAATAGAGGAGCTAGAAGAAACTAACAAAAACCTTCAAAAAGCAGAGGAGGAACTTCAAGAACTGAGAGATAAAATAGCAAAAGGGGAATGTGGGAACTCTAGCTTAATGGCAGAAGTGGAAAACCTCCGCAAGCGTGTTCTTGAAATGGAGGGGAAAGATGAAGAGATCACAAAAACTGAATCCCAGTGTAAAGAGCTGAAAAATAAACTGCAAGAGGAAGAGCACCATAGCAAAGAGTTGAAACTTGAAGTGGAAAAATTGCAGAAAAGAATGACAGAACTAGAGAAGCTGGAAGAGGCTTTCAGTAAAAGTAAGTCTGAATGCACCCAGCTACACTTAAACTTGGAGAAAGAAAAGAATTTGACTAAGGATTTGATAAATGAGTTGGAAGTGGTGAAGACTCGAGTAAGAGACCTTGAGGCATCAGAAAGCAAGTTGGAAAAGGCTGAAATAAGCTTAAAAGATGATCTTACGAAGCTGAAGTCCTTTACTGTAATGTTGGTTGATGAACGAAAAAATATGATGGAAAAAATAAAACAGGAGGAAAAAAAGGTTGAGGGTTTAAACAAGAATTTTAAAGTCGAACAAGGGAAAGTTATGGATGTAACAGAGAAGCTGATAGAAGAAAGTAAGAAATTTTTGAAACTGAAATCCGAAATGGAAGAAAAAGTGTCTAGTTTGACAAAGGAAAGGGATGAGTTAATTGGCAAACTCAGAAGTGAAGAGGAAAAATCCTCTGAACTAAGCTGTAGAGTTGACCTGTTAAGGAAAAGAATTGATGGTATAGAGGAGGTAGAAAGAGAAATTACAAGAGGTCGAGCCAGGAAAGGACCAGAGCATGGTTGTCATGAAGACAACAAGATTAAAGAACTTACTGTTGAAATTGAAAGACTGAAAAAACGTCTCAAACAGTTGGAAGTGGTTGAAGGAGATTTAATGAAGACAGAAGATGAGTATGATCAGCTAGAGCAGAAATTTAGGACTGAGCAGGACAAAGCGAACTTTCTTTCTCAACAGCTGGAGGAGATGAAGCTCCAGATTGCCAAAACCAAAGCAATAGAAAAAGGTGAAGCAGTGAGCCAGGAGGCAGAGCTGAGGCACAGGTTTCGTCTGGAAGAGGCCAAAAGCAGAGATTTGAAAGCAGAAGTCCAAGCTCTTAAGGAAAAAATCCATGAGCTGATGAACAAAGAAGACCAGCTTTCTCAGCTCCAAGTCGATTATTCGGTTCTGCAACAAAGGTTTATGGAAGAAGAAAATAAAAACAAGAACATGGGGCAGGAAGTTATGAACCTAACAAAAGAGCTGGAGCTTTCTAAGCGTTACAGCCGTGCTCTGAGGCCCAGCATAAACGGGCGAAGAATGGTCGATGTTCCCGTGACGTCTACCGGCGTGCAAACAGATGCTGTAAGCAGTGAAGCAGCAGAAGAAGAAACTCCAGCAGTGTTTATAAGGAAATCCTTCCAGGAGGAAAATCACATCATGAGCAATCTGCGACAAGTAGGTCTGAAAAAACCCATGGAGCGTTCTTCAGTGCTGGAGAGATATCCTCCAGCAGCAAATGAACTCGCAATGAGGAAGTCTTGGATACCGTGGATGAGGAAGAGGGAAACTGGGGCTCAGGCAACTCCTGATAAAGGACCCCGCAGCCATGGTAGTCCAGCACACCCGGGGGAGGTTGTCCTTTCACCAAAGCAGGGTCAACCTCTTCATATTCGGGTGACACCAGACCACGAGAACAGCACAGCTACTTTGGAGATAACCAGCCCCACCTCAGAGGAATTTTTTTCGAGTACCACTGTCATTCCTACTTTGGGAAATCAGAAGCCACGAATAACCATCATTCCCTCTCCAAATGTTATGCCCCCAAAAGGGAAAGGCAATGAAAGTCCCATGGGCCCAGATCGCTCTATGTCTCCAGTCACTATAACAACATTCTCCAGGGAAAAGTCCCCAGAGGGAGGGAGAGCACCCTTCGCCGACAGACCGACATCACCCATTCAGATTATGACAGTATCGACATCTGCAGCACCAGCAGAAATCTCTGTCTCTCAGCAGTCACAAGATATGACCATGGGAAGGGCTGTCTTCAAAGTAACACCGGAAAAACAAACCGTCCCGACTCCAATCCGCAAGTACAATGCCAACGCCAACATTATCACAACAGAAGACAACAAAATCCACATCCACTTAGGTTCCCAGTTTAAACGCTCTCCCAGCGCTGCACCTGACGGTGCGAGTCCTGTGATAACAGTCAGACCGGTGAACATTGCAGCAGAGAAAGAAGTTGTGACCGGTACCGTCCTTCGGTCGCCCCGGAACAGCCTGTCCTCGCGACCTGCACCAAGCAAGGTGACAAGCACTATAACCATAACGCCTGTTACAACGTCTTCCACCCGGGGGACACAGTCAGTGGTAAGCAGCTTAGCCTTGTGCTGTAGTCTTCATGGCGAGGAGAAGAGAAACCAAAGTCTGGGTTTGAGACACCAGAAAGAATGGGTGGGGTGAAGAGAACCTCTTGACTAGCGTGCATCTGTTTCAGAGACAAGCTTAACTGTAAAATCTGAATTTTCATGATTTGGATATTTTTGTACCAGTGCTGGACGCTGGTATCCTTTTGGCGTTGTCTCCCAAAGGAGTAACTTTCAAAGTGAGTCCCTGCAAAGGTCCTTTCAAGTTATTTTCATGATGACAATTCTGTAAAATTGCAAGTGAGAGACAGAGAGGGGCAAAGAATGATGGAGATGACAGAACAGGAAGCTGTGTTTTTATTTTTGGAGAGTGCAGTTTCTGACTACTGAAAATACTCGTAATGATTTTTGGCCTGGCTGGTGGGTCTTCACGGTCCAATCATGCAGGCTGGTATTTCTTTGGTATAAACCATTATATTTGTAATTCAATTAATACCTGCTGTAATACTGAACTCCAAAGGAATAAACAGCCAGTCATGGTACCGTTGCTTACAGCTCCAGATCTCTTTCAGCCAGTAAGTACTAAAGCTCTTCCTGCTCCTCTGAAATTCTCAACTTTTATTAGGGCTATATTACAATAATGCTTTTTTGAATATGTTTTTGCTCCTTTCTCTCTGTGCCTCTGTAGTGTGCTCCCTGGCTCCTTTTTAATCCAAAGTCTTACTTAAATCAGTCTCTCACCTCTGCCTCTAATCACATTGGACAACATTTATTGATAGCCTTCCCCTGCAGTTCACTATTGGACAAGGGTTTGCATTGTTTTAGTTGGAAATACCCTGGGAAAGAAGAAAATACAAAACCAGCAGTACCGTCTTAGTCCACAAGCTTGTAGCCGATGCTTAGGGGAAGATTGTTTTAAGTGGGTAAACACGCAGTAATGTTTCCCTCAGCGTCTGTTCCTGGTTTTTGGCAATAGGTGGGTATTTCTTTCTGAACCAGGGCCTGTAGCCACATCTTTGTGTTTAATAGACCGTAGCAGAGTTTTCTTCTATTTATTCTTCTAATTGCTTTTTGAACTCATTTATACTGTTGTTTCCACAACATCAGGGGGCAGTGAATTCCGTTGTGGGCTCTGGGAAAAATGCTCTTTTGTTTGCTACCTTTTATGCAATACCTTCATCGGTTACAGCCTCTTTCTTGCATCTTGACAAATACTGAATAGTCATCCCCTGTTCATTTGTCCGTGCCGCTCAGGAGCCTGCAGACCCCTACAACACGCCTCTTCAGGCACCTCTTTCCAAGCTGAAATGTCAAAGTGTATTTAAGATACACTTCCACACTTCTGGAGAGAAGCTGCCATTCCCATTTGGATCTATTTCGGATTGCACATGCACGCTCTCTCTCTCTCCCCACATATATAATGTATTGGAGGTACTTTACAGTGTTTTCCTACATATTAGAGGCAACGGACAAATTTTTTTTAAGTCTTGAATTAATTCATTTACGAACTCCTTTGTCTCTCAGAAGCTTGGAAAATTTTTTTTTAAGAGTTCGTCATTCTTTTTTACTAGATGTCTGGATGTCTGTCTCTACTGTGATGATGCACTGATCCATGGCAGACAAAACTTTTTTTGTTTTGTGTTCATCTGGCTAAAAAGTAGCTTCTTTCTTTACTTCATCCTCCCTGATTTGGAATGTAAGGAAAATAGTTCAACCATAAGATTTACTTTATTTTATGCTTCCCTTTGTTTTTTAAGGTCCATAGTCAGATAAGCAGGGAACTTTGAAAAAGCCCAAATGTGCCTTTTCTTCCCTGACCCCCTGAAAAAAAACCCCAAACCCAAAAACAAAAATAGAAGTTGTATATTCACCATCTGTTTTGCAAATGACTACTTTACAAGCACATTTCAGTACCCCTAGTCAGAAAAAACCAAGTTGCGATCATTTATTCATTAACCCAAGAAGAAACCAAAATTGATATAATTTTCAAGGTTTAAGTTCATGGAATCAAAGAAGACACACTGATACAAAACTGCTTTCTTAGCTCCCTGGCTTTAATGCTTTCCTTAACTCTCCTCCTACGAAATGCTTTGTACAACAGACTAATGCAGTGTCAAGCTACAGAGGGTAAAATAATTCTGAGATTCCTGGCTCTCATCTGTTGCTATAACCAATTTGCAGTTACTGTTTTCATATTTGAAAACATTTAACTCTTCTTCTGTCGTGGTTTAACCCCAGCTGGCAGCTAAGCACCACACAGCCCCTCGCTCACTCCCCCCGTGGTGGGATGGGAGAGAGAATCAGAAGAGTAAAAGTGAGAGAACTCCTGGGTTGAGATAAAGGCAGTTCAATAGGCAAAGCAAAAGCCACACACACAAGCAAAGCAACACAAGGGATTCATTCACCAGTTCCTGTCAGCAGGAGGTGCTCGGCCATGCCCAGGAAAGCAGGGCTCCATCATGCGTGATGGGTACTTGGGAAGACAAACGCCATCACTCCGAATGTCCCCCACCTTGTTCTTCCTCCCCCAGCTCTATATACTGACCATCATGCCATATGGTATGGGATATCCCTTTGGCCAGTTGGGGTCAGCTGTCCCAGCTGTGTCCCCTCCCTAATTCTTGTGCACCCCCAGCCTACTCGCTGGTGGGTTGGCATGAGTAGCAGGAAAGGCCTTGGCTCTGTGTAAGCACTGCTCAGCAGTAACTCAAACATCCCTTTGTTATCAATGCTGTTTCCAACACAAATCCAAAACATAGCCCCTTAGTAGCTACTACGAAGAAAACTAACTCTGTCCCAGCCAAAACCAGCACATCTTTCCATTTGAATTTGTTCAGAGGTCCCTGCCAGAGTCCTGTATCTAGATGTTGTTCAAACTCTGCAGGCTTTAATGATCCTTTGACTCAGTAGATTCCAAACACTGGAGACTGAGTAATGTCTCCTTCTGTCATGAACTTTGTACTGTGGATGTCTGTTTAGTTTTGTAACTGGCCCAGTCATAAAGCGACTTGCATTTGCACTTCAGCAGAATCATCACTTGCTGTTTGTTACTGATATTGCCAGATGTCCACTTACATATATGTTGTGTTTTTTCTAGAAGCAACTAATCTGATTTTATGCCAAAACACACCATGTTTGGTGGGCTTTATTCATGTAGTAGGTAAAGCTTTCTTGACCTTACTTTCCATTATCATCAAAATTTGTCTCTTGAGTGCACTGAATAGAAGAGTTACTAGTTAGAAACAGGCTTATTGGAAAAATGCAGGATCGATTAACCTTCTGTAGGAATGGGTCAATTGAGTCAATTGAGTGCTCTTCAGTACTGCACGTGAAGTTAATGTTAAGGTGCACACACAGTATTTTTAAAGGTTCAGCCTGAGCTGTGGTCTCTCCCTGCATATGTGAGCTGAAAACCAGAGACTTTGGTTTCATGATGGACCATCATGATTTTTGAATCCCCTGGATTAAAGGGTGTTACGGTTGTATTGACTTACACTGGCATACACTCTAGAGTAGTTAGAGATTTATACTCCCCTGATCCAAGTCCTCTTCTGAGCCTGCAACCTTTTTAATTTTAGATAAAATGAGACCTCAGTCCAAAAAGAGACACAGACACCTGAAGGAGAACTTGGGAAATTATTGAGATAACCGAAAACGGCACTGGTCAGTGACTGTGTCTCCACTGGCACCTGGTCTCACTGGACCCGAATGCTTTGGAGGTATTTAGGTTCTGCCTGCTGCACAAACTGTCATGATTGCCCCAGCTGGCAACTTAGCACCACACAGCTGCTCACTCATCCTCCTCACCCCCCAAACGGGATAGGGAAAAGAATCGTGAAAAGAACTTGTGGGTTGAGATAAAAACATTTTAATAGGACAGTAAAAGACAAGGAAATAATAATAATGATGATAATAGTAATAATAATATTACTGTTAAAGGAATACAGAAAAACCAGTGATGTACCATGCAACAGTTGCTCACCACCAGGTGATCAATAGCCCATCTCCCAGCCAACTTCTCCAACTTATATACTAGGCATGAAGTGTTATGGCATGAAATACCCCTTTGGTCAGTTTGGGTCAGCCGTCCTGGCTGTGTCCCCCTCCCAGCTTCTTGTAGAGAAGAAACTGGGAGAAAAGGGCAGTATGAAAACTGAAAATGTCCTTGGCTTAATGTAAACATTGCTTGGCAACAACTAAAACACCAGTGTTATCAGCATTCTTTTCAGCACAAACCCAAAACACAGCCTCATACCAGCTACTGTGAAGAAAATTAACTCTGTCCCAGCCAAAACCAGCACAACAGCCTATGGATTTGTGTAATTACCATAGAGAGGAAACAACGGGGTTTGGTCCTCCTTAGCTCAACTAGAGTCAAACCCACTCCCAGGAAAATAGTTGCACTACCTCGCAGACCCTAGCAGCAGATGATTTTTTTTATTACAGATGGACCACAACACAACAAAAAATTCAAGACTATGAGACCAGAGGCTATGTAGACCAAAATGAGCCTGAAACTGTAGCCTAGTTGTTAGTCTTGCCTTGGCATATCAGACTAAGCCCCTCTTTGCAGCACATTTCACATAGGTTACTTAAAAAAATCCACAGAATAAAACCAAATTTATTTTTGGGGGGAGGGGGGGGTGGAAACAACAACCCAAAAAAACCATCAAAAAAACCCCAAAACCTGTGGTGCCCATATCCTGTTTTTTGATTTAGGCCTTACATTTGGCTGTCGGATTGCTGGTGAATTTGGATCTTCTTTGGCTACCAGGATGGGTGTCAGTCGTATAATCACTTCATCCCTGTGGTCCCCACCTCTGACAAACCTGGCATCCAGCACAGGCTCCTTATGCTGCCAGGATACACAGTGAATCCAATGACATGCAAATCTGCAGGGAGCAGAGGGGATCCCAGCTGCAGCAGAGCCAGAGTAGTGGCATGGCACCAGCCATGTAGGGCATCCTGTGAGGGAGGCAGAAAAATGGGTGCCAGAGCTAGCTGGGCACATGATAAAGTAACTATAGGGCTACTTTCATTTGGGCAGCATTTAGTTTGAGATCAGTGGCTAAATTTAGCTCTTTGTAGGTGTCCCATATATGCTCCGAGCTTCCCTTAGAGATCCAGGGCCCAGCTCACTTGGCTGGATAACAGTGCATGGTGCTATATTCATGCCCTGTGGCAGCTGAGACATGTGCATGATGCTGGGAGGAGTAACACAGACCTGTACCTTTCTGCAGTGGAGCCTGGTGGGCTACCTCAAATGGCAACAGAACAGACGCCTCAGTGTGGGCAGTTGTGTCAGTTCTAGTCATCAGTCCCCTTGTCAGCACTGAGCCCTGCGTGCTGGCTCCGTGGAGACTGGAGGGGGATTCAGCCAAGATGCTGCTGGCTTCAGCGTGAGCTGAGCTGCCCACAGGGCTCCACTATTAACTAGATCTCAAGTCCCACCCTTTCAGGCTTCAGTTGCATAAACATACTTCTTTAGTGTCACTGTAAGTGCTGTCATGTAGTCTACCTAACTTCCAGCTGCTTTATCAGAGGTTGCGGGTCTCCTTGCATCCTCTGTCTCACCTACCAGCCCTGTGCAGATGGCTTGAATAGCCCAGGGCGTCTCAAATTGCAATAGATACCTGTGTCAGCTACTGAACAGAACCATTTCTGTCCAGGGCAAGCTGGTCCCTGATCTGATTGAGAACAAGGGCTGAAAAAGCACCTTTGTTATGAAAATATTCCACAAGTACTTGTGTGCATGAAAGCACTCTCCTTGTGTGTCAATAAAATGCACAAAACTGGTTCTGTTATAAACCACAAAACCATGTTAAATCGTTTTTCTTCTTTCAGTGGGACTGTTGCAACCTTGCTGCAACCTCAGCGTCTCCGGTGAGCGCTGATTATCCACCTAACCAGCTTAGCGGCTGCGTGTACTTAGCTCACCCTCAGTAATGTCCTTACTGACCTGGCTGTGGTCCCCTGTGCGGTTCCGGCACCACGTACTGCCCGTTCAGAGCCAGCCAGCGTCACCCTGTGTCCCACTGGCCCATGGCTGGGGAACTCTGTGCCGACTGCGTATGAGTTCGTTTCTGGTTTGGAGCCACACTATCAACCAGATGCCAAGAGAGCATCCTACAAACAGGGCTGGAGGGAATCCCTTTGAGCTTGGTTCATGGAAGAAATGACCAAGAGACAGGCATGTGGGTTCTCTGCCACTACAGTCGCCTCGTTGAGAGTGTCCTCTGCTTGCCTACCCGTCGCTCGCTCCCCGCCGGGTGACTGCGTGTGAGGAGCCACCTTTGTGCCATCTCGCTTAGCACACACAGGACGCTTTGGCAGCTGCATGTGAAGCAGGCATTAGCTTCCATAGGACCAACATGTTAGTATGCTGTAAGGAAGGCAACTAAGACATTTAAAGCAAGCTACAGTTCTTTTCAAAGTGCTTTTGAGTGATTTAGGCTTGAAATGAGTAACTTGAAAGGCCCAAATCCTTAGTTAATAATTTACATGTGAATAAAGCTGAAGGAATGCCTGAGATTCCAGCTACTTCATTTGATTGCCTCATGTTTACACACTGTGGAGCTCTTTCAGGGAGTACAAGATGTTTGTCATTTGGGTTCCCTGGGATGTTGACATATTTTCCAAGGCTGATGGAATGCATTTGCATGTTTTGCCCTACGGAATTGTATGGGCCTAACTTGTTTTGACATCTACATGTGAGTTCCATATTAGCCTTTAGACTGCTATTGTAAATGTTGCTTTTGGTTATTGAAAATGGCTTCCTTCCTTCCTTCCAGACAGCATTCAAGTTTTCCAATTGTGCTTTTTTTGTGTGTACACATGGAGTTTTGAACTGTTCTTAGAAGATTAAGGAATGGTTTTCCCTTGATCACTCAAGATGCAGACAGAAGGCTCTGATGCTACTGGCTGGAAATCCTTCGAGAGAGAAAAGTGCTTCTTCTTGGAGCATTTTTTGAGAGCATTTTTAAGTAAATGTGCACATACATGTTGCAGTCAAGGCAATCTCCAATCCCATCTATTTCAGCAGTTTCATTTTATTTTGCTTACGTGTCATAAGTTGCAGATTTTAGTCATGTAGCAGTTGGGTCCAGCTAGGGCTCCAGGACCTTATGAGAAGTGTTCTCTTTTGTGAGATCAAAGTCTTCGCCCACATATGAAATTCAGCGGAGACACGGAAGCTGTCTCTGTTAACATTTGTGCAGAAGATGAGACACATTTTCCTTTCAGAATTGTCATGGTTTTAAGTGTTTTCTTTAGGTCATGGTCCACAACAGGTAGCTTCCAGTTTTGGCCTTGCAGAGTATATGCGACATTATCTGGCCAATGGAGACAGAAAATACTATTTGGCCCTTCTGGATCTTTTTGTCCTATCCAGCTGCTCCTCGTGTGTTTACACAGTGGGATTCGGTTGCTTAAACGTATGTTTATCGCCATTTTGGAAGCTATAGGATAGCCTGCCTGGCCTCCAGCTGGTGCTCCAGAAGGGCACAGACACCCCTCAGGATCCGTGTTAGGTCTGCCAGCCCAGCGCTTGGGTCCTCAACCACATAGACCATTTTTATTTTGGTCTTCATCTGAAATCCTCAAACTTGAGGATAAGTGTGCTTGGTAGGCTGTTGTCCAGAGCAGCAGACTGGCAGAGATGGCAAAAGGACCATGTACACAATGCCTTGAGGTATCCCTGGCAATCTGGACTGCCTGCTTCACCCTCACCAGGGTTCCTCAAGTTGTGGCTTGAGCTCAGAAGGGGAGAGCCTCTCCCACAGCCACAGGAAAAGAAAATCCAAATCTTTCCTCTGCCTCTCTCTCCCAGGCCCCTGCACTTCCCAGTGCAGAAATAAGAGGCCACAGCCATGGCCCCCAACGTATTTTGGGAAGCAAAGTTCAATTTTTTCTATAATGCTGAGAAATCTTGCCCCAGCTGTGAAAATGTGGCAGTTACTCTGGGTTCAGCATTAGCCTCACGTGGTGATACTCTTTTGAGGGCCCGTGCTTGTCTCTGTGCAAGGTGCTAATGTTGTACCTGTCCAACAGCTAAACCAGCATTTTGGTCCTGCACTGTGTTGTGTTGTGGAATCAGAGTTTTGCAGGGATTCCCATCCATATGACATCTTGATCCACCAGACCTCAGTTCTGGGAAACTCGTTTGATCCGGACTGTACCTCTGGCCCTACTCTGCAGTATGTGCTACGGCCGGGTTCCAAATGTGAACATTACTTGGCTAACAGGAGTGATGTGGGACATTGCTGCTTGAGAGGTAAATGTAGAACCAATGAAAAGTAGAAAAGGAGGATATATGAGAAGAAGTTCACGTCATTTCTCTCTGTCTCTCTCTTTTGCAGACAGGACAGGATGGGTCATCCCCGAGACCTACGCCCACCCGCATTCCTGTGTCAAAAGGTATGAAAGCAGGAAAGCCGGTAGTGGCAGCCCCAGGAGCAGGAAATGTGACAAAATTCGAGCCTCGTGCCGAGACTCAGTCTATGAAAATAGAACTGAAGAAATCTTCAGCCAGCAGCTCTGCCTCCCTGGGCGGGGGTCAGGGCTGATGGCGGTGGCTCAGGGGGTATGTTCTGCAGGTTTTACTGCTACCATGGAAGTCAGACCCCTGTCTGTGTAGTTGCTCACGTTTGCCTGTACTAATGGAGTCCTGCAGCTGTCACTTACAACAAACTAATGTGTGTGCACCAACTACTTAAGTAACAATATCCTTTTGTTTTCTTACTGAAGTAAAAATAAAAGCCATCCAAAGGCAGTTGTACGCTGGGAAGATTTTCAGCCTAGGAAGTGAGAATGGGGCAACTGGGTTAATAATCTATCTCAGGATTTCTTAGTGATAGACTTGGTCATGCTTTAATAGATCGAAGGAAGTTTGGTCACTTCTACTGCATTGTCTTCCACCTTAACAGGTCACTTTCACCTTCGCTACTGCACGGGGCACTTGCCTTCCTGCCTGTGATGGCATTTTTGAGATGCCACATTGCCTAGGGAAGTAATGGAGACAAAGCACTTGGGGTTGTCTTCGCAGAGAGGGTGGTGAGACACTGGAACAGGTTGCCCAGAGAAGCTGTGGATGCCCCATCCCTGGAAGTGTTCACGGCCAGGCTGGATGAGGCTTTGAGCAACCTGGTCTAGTAGAAGGTGTCCCTGCCCATGGCAGGGGGGTTGGAACTGGATGGTTTTTAACGTCCCTTCCAACCCAAACCATTCTATGGTTCTGTTTTAATGGAAGGCAGTACTTCAGGTGCGGGAGGGAGGGAAAAAAAGAAAGCATGGGCACTGTGTGACCAGCCTTCTCTCTAGGAATCTCCCATCCAAATCAGCATTTTTCAGTGGTGAGCTGCTTTGTGAAGGCAGTTATAAAATTCAAGGGTGTAGGGAGGTCGCATGATGTTAGCAGCAGTAGTAAGCAGCAGCTTATTTCTTACGAAGGGGGTTAAGTCTTGTAGACAGTAGTACAGACAGGTGCCAGACTTACACAACCGGGTTACTGCCAGCTCAGGGGTCAGATGAAGGCAAGGGAGCCAAAAGGAGTTTGCTCTTTAGAAAAAGCTTGAGAAATATTGATCAGGTTAAAATCAATGCAGTACATTTGTGCCTGCTCCAAAGACCACTAAAAGCTGTGTAGCAAGTCACTCCCTTGACTTCACTAGGTTTTCAGTTTTCCTGGTTGGATGAACTTCTGCTGCATTTAAACCTTAGTTACCAAGCGTCCTTATGTCTTAGAGGGGGAGTCAGCACAGACAGCCTGAAGGCACAGCTCAGGTACAGACAGGTAAAGAGAGAGGGTTTGGTATGGAAGTTACCCTCAATTCTCACTTGTTTGAAATATTTTGTCTTAAATACAGACCACCTCACAATACCATGGTGATTCATCGTCTTTCCTTCCCTCTGTGTGGTTTCCTCATTTATATGTTTGCATTTTTAAGCATGTTTTAAGGAGTTGTTCCAGCATGGAAGTGGTGTGGGTGCCAATGATTGCTACAATTGTCTATTTATTAACAGTAAAGTTGTTAAAGGGCATTTCCATTAAGTGATCAATTTCCACAGAAGAAAGTCACAGCCAAAAGAAATGAAGCTGAGCAGACTGATAAACGATGGTTTTAAAGCTCATATAATACCTCAACCACCACAGCAAGCTGTAAAGGACCCAGTGGTTAGGAATAGCTTTCAGAAGGCAAGACAGGAAGACCACCAATAAATAATGAATACAATTCACAGAAAGGAAGTGCACCAGTGGGTGAAATATTAAATGCCTTTCTGTCTGGGAGAAGAGATTTGATGGAAGAATCTGCCACAGAAGGTCAGCAAAATTATATTCAGTCCAAGCAATGTTTAGTCTTCAGTCTGCACTTTGCCTTGCTCTGCAATTTAAGATCCAGCTATGGCCATTATCCCAGCGTAAAGCTGGTATTTTACTATTCACACGCAGTGCATTTTGTCTGCAGTGTAAAAGCTGCTGCCACATCAGAAAAGAAGTCGGTTTCAATTTTTACATGTGTAGCACCTGCAATACCTGTAAATTTTAAGGTTCTGGTTCTTATGACATCTGAAAATTGAATTTGTATTTGTAGCGTTTTTTGTAACACTCAATTCACAGTATTTCAGATAAAACTCAGAAACTTGGAATTAGCAAGCAATGTGTGTTACTATGCCAGAAATATATCAGATCCTCTCAACTAATTGTTATCACTTGAAAGCCTCCATTTGTCAATAAATTGTTGCTGAGATCTTACTGTTCTTATTGTAACATAGCCTTTTGAGCAGATGTTTGAAGAAAACACATTATTAAGAGCTTTTTTGCTGGATATTCACTCTGAATACTGGCGCTGAAGCAAGTCTTCAGGTCAAAACAGTCATTTAAATAATATTGCAAACATGAGCCTCGAGCTAATGTGGCTTAATACAGTGATGAACTACAGCTGCCTTGAGCCTTCCATTTCAGAGCTTTGTTTCAAAGAAACTTAGTTCCTTAGTTAACTGTTGCTGTACCCAAGGCAATGTTCTGTGTGTGCCTCTGGTTGAAAAATGTGTTTGTTTTGCTTGAGATCTAAGAAGCTCGTTCATCTGAAGGAACAAACCAGCCTTACAGTACCTGAAATCCAGGATACTCAAATGAGCACAGCTGAACCACAACTTCAGGCACAAGCCAGGGATTACTCTTGTAGAATCAGTAGGCTTTCACGAGACTGGACTCGAGAAATTCTAGAAAGGTCAGACGAATGTTCCTGTTATTTTTCCGAGGGGCAGCACAACAGAAACAAACTTTTGCTCCATATCAGAAGCCCAAAGAGTTGGAATCAGGCAACTGGTTTAACCATTTGCTAAAAATAGGTATTTAGTATGCTCATAATTTTTAATATCAGTTTTAATTGACCTGAGATTCTTGTTTCTTAAAGATAGAAGAAGGGTAAGATGAAGAAAAAAGAAAGCCTATAGCTCAGAAGTCTCAGAAGTTGAGCATAGCTGTCTTCGTTATACAGGAATTTCCTCTGAACCCAAAGAGAGTTATGTTTAGTAATGACAGTAAGATTCTCCATTCAGTAGGTCAGCTCCAGAAGGCAATGTAGACAACCAAGTCTAAAGACAGTACCTAAGTCCCAGAGGCATCCTCTGAAGATCTTCCTGAAGGTCTTCCATTGCACTTCTTTGGTCAGTGTTTCAGTTGTGACTTAACTAGCACTGCAGCCTCTGAACCTAATCAAGGTCCATCATCTAGGTATTCTTGTATTTCCTCTAAGGGCTTTAAGTCAAGCCACAATTTCATGGTCACGTAAAGTCAGGGGGTAACCCCACACTGGAGTCAAAAGCTGTAGTACTGGCTTTGTCACCTCCAGCTGGGAAAGTACTCACTTCCGTGTGGCTGTCCTTTGAGCTGGTACTCAGCTGGTATGAACTTAACTGGGCAACTGATCTGAACTGAAAGGAATCTGGCAAAAAAGCATAAAAGCTAGCTTTAACATAGCTTAGTTCCAGGCTCTCAGTCTGGAAAAAGAAAGAAGGCAAGCATGGGAAAGCTGTGGCTGTTTCAAAGTGACTGTGGAATCATGAATGCCTCCTAGTAGATCATATACCATACAAATGTAGGGGTAGTGCTGCTTATTTTAAAAGGCTTTTGACTGAAACCTTTCTTCAAAGGTAGGAGACGGGTTCCCCTTTCTCACCAGTATGTGAGGAGGCTGACTCAAACCCACATCCGCTCCAGCCAGGTTCACCAATGGCACTCACAGACAGCTGAGGGGGAAGAAGGTAGTGCTCTCATTCCTTTCTATAAAGGCCGTGCTGTTCTGCTTGGAGGGCTTTAGTATTCATTGAGCAGAAACAAGGGAGTGGTTGAGTGGTCAGATATTGAACTAGGAGGAGGGAGCCCCCCTGGATTCAGGTCCCTGTTCCAAAGGCTGCCTTTAAGCCTGGCCTTTTGTGAAAAGAAAGTTTATAAGATGAAGTGTCTGTGTTCATCCAACCCTCCATCTGGCCTTCATTGATGAATAACATTGAACACATCAACCAATTTCAACTAAGTCTGACAGAGCAATAGAGGTTTCCAGAATAAGAAGTTCTTCCAGCTTTATGAAAAGGGTGACAGAGAAGAGGAACAAGACCTTAGCACTGTCCTACTGTGCGGAAGAATGTGGCATGAGCTCACCTTCACACAACACCGAAGGACGAACACAAGAGAGTGATGTCAGAAACACGGCAAGGATAAGCTCTGTTCAGACCTCAGATTTTACTAGGCACTGAAGAATCAAATTCTGAGACATCAACCTGTAGGAAAACATTAGGGCCTTTATTTACAGTGTTTATTCTGTATTCTACATTACTGGATCACAGTGCAGAAACCAAGCTTTCCTCTGCCCAGGTGATCACCTGGAATGATTCATCCTCATGCTTTCCCTCTCTCAGCTTTTTCTCCTATTGATTGTTTTTTAATGAAAAAGAACAGTTTCAGTAGCAAAATTCACTCAACTCAGCGTAACAAGGATAGTTACAGTGCTTCACCACAAGCTGAGCTGGCTGAGAAGCAATCTTGGTAGTTTTGGTAGGATTCAGTGTTAGCTGCAGAGATGCCCTGTTCATATCAGCGGTCATGGTAACTCAAGCCCAGCAGTGGGAACATATGGCTTGGGACAGCAGTGAGGTGGAGAGGTGGAAGGGGGAAAGCGACCGAGAAGGTGCAACCTCAGTTCTCCAGATGATCCTTGTGATTTTAAATCTAGTCCCTCATAAGTTTTCCTCTGTGTTCTCTAGATTAGACCCCATCACCTGAATTACTGTTACATGTGTATCGCTCATGCAGTCGTTAGCAGAGCAATACATTTGAGTCAGCGTGACTTAAAACGAGGGAGCACAGAACCTCAGCCCTAATGCCTGGGGGTTTTGTCTCAGATCAGTAAACACGCTAAGTAAATAACAGAAGAAAACCAGAGATTTTTATTTATTTTGCCCACCTTTTTTCCTTGCTTGACACCCATTAGTGTGATTTTTCAAAAACCAAATAACACTCTCAGATCTTTCTGCATATGCCCACAGCTTACGCCTGTTACCATATTCAGACCTCAAACTGTGCACAGCACACAGTAATTAACATCATGTGAGTAATCTCTAAAGTCACGTTAATACGTTCATTCATGCCAACTGGATGCCGAGTCATACGTTATTGCCTGAAATATGCTACACGTTCTAAAACATGCCTGACATTTCCCTGAATTTTCAGAGATTCTGATCAGAAGAGGAAGAGCGCATCTTTAAAGAGAGCAAGCTACTGTCCTGCTGGGTTTCAGGTGCTTGGCATAAGCTGCCAGAGTCGGGACAATTTTCAGACCGATTATATGTTCCCATCACACGGCTGATTTCATTGAGTCGCTTTGAAACCTGTAGTGTGCTGGCAGGAGTTTCTGTGAGCTCATCTCTCGAACTCTCGAAGGGGAATGTTTTTTTCTCCCCTACGTCAGTGTGAGTTACCCTCTTTCACTTAATTTTGCCTGAGCTCTCTCAGGCAGAGCTGTATGCAGCATGTCTCATTACAGATGAAGGGGTCTACAAGGAAGCTGGGAGGGAACTATTTCCAAGGGTCTGCAGTGACAGGACAAGGGGTAACGGGTTTAAATTGAAAGTGGGGAGGTTTAGATTGGATATCAGGAAGAAGTTCTTCCCAGAGAGGGTGGTGAGGCACTGGAACAGGTTGCCCAGAGAAGCTGTGGTTGCCCCATCCCTGGATGTCTTCAAGGCCAGGCTGGATGAGGCTTTGAGCAACCTGGTCTAGTGGAAGGTGTCCCTGCCCATGGCAGGGGGGGTGGAACTAGATGGTCTTTAAGGTCCCTTCCAACCCAAAACCATTCCATGATTCTATGATACATGTTAGCTTCACTTAGAGTCTTACCCCCTACACACTGCTCTTGCTTGGCTTTGTGGAAGATGCAATCAGGATTAACTACACTGCGATGCAGAGCTGTCAGCTCTGAGAGTCAGGTATGAATCACTCAGGTGTGAGTGGTTCTTCACTTTAAAAACTCTCTTCAACAGGATTTCAAAAATAGAAACACTGATGTATGATTCTCTTCTGTTGCTTGAGTGTGTGTTGTCTGTGGTACACACTTTTTTCTTTATTATCTGGTGTTATCTGTTTGTATATATTGTAAGAAGAAATTAAACTTCCAATGTGAAAGTGTCAGTTGATGTGCTTCATTGTCTGAATTGGCATTTTTCATAGGCCATGTGTTAATGAGGTGTTTCCTGGAGAAGTTCTGATTTACACCAGTGGGACTGAAAGCAGAATGAGCAGTTTTACATTAACTTTGTTTTCTTTTCCTGTCATTAAAAGAAATCGTTTTGTTTAAGTGAATTCATCGCTCCTTGAAATATTCCCATCTATAACCCTAGAAAAAATTATGTAATCATATCCTACAGATATAATCATACTTTTAGAGAGGATGGTCCAATAGAACTCTGACAAAATCTGCCCTACTATGATTTTAGCTTAACTGCTCAGACACCTCTTTTAGTAACTAGAGAGTGTGTGTAGATATGAGTGTATATTTTTATATATATATAAGTATTTCAAGTACAAACACCTGATAGACACAGTAAGAGCACACATATACATGTACGAGAAATTAACAAATGAATAATAAAAGTGGAAATAATTTGATTTTTTTATTATTTCTTCTACTCTTTTCTGCATAATCACTGTACTTGGTCTATAGGAGGAAGACTGATTCAGAAATCTACTCTAGTTCCACTGTTTATTCAATGACTGAACCTTTACAAGGAGCATCATATTTTTCTGCTACCCAGGTTTTAGAATTTTGTATGTAAGCTTTGTAGTAATACATAATGTGCATGGTGAATATTAAAAAAATGGTTCATGTGGAGTTTGCGTGACCCCTATTGAAGGTAGTGGGAGAGTTCGCCTGAGGCTACAACCTGATATTAAGTAAATGCAGCTTTTTGCATCATATTCCACAAGAGATTGAAGTTAGAGAACTGGTTGCAAGGTAAAATCTTACTGTAGTTTGTGGTTTTTTCACAGTCACTGCCCAGATTTGGAAGACTTGGTATTCATACCTCATTGAAAATCATTTGTTATTGATAAATTATATGAAAAAGAAATACTTTCTATTTGAGAAATCCTATTCTTTAATTTTTATTCTTTAACCTATTCTTTAACCTATGTTCTTGAATGTTGCCTTAGCCCTGCTTTGCTAATTCACCGTGCATGAAAAGCGCCACTGGAACCTGCCACCTTGTGGCAAGGTTCTGGCGTTGAGAGCACAGAGACAACGTTTTCTTTCCTCTTATAATGTAACATCTTGAAAATATTAGTTAGGAAGCAGACAAAGGCAGAATCCAATAAAAATGTAAAAGGCAATAATACATGATTAGTGTGGTTTCTTGGATCATGTATATTTTGAAAAATCTTCAGACTATTAATAGAGGAAGGAATCAAATAATTTCAATTAAGAAAATGAATATCTATAAAAATGTATTATATGTTTCTAGTTGGCATTGGTACAGTTATGTGAAATGCATAAAATACATCTTTTCAGAGAAAAGCGCCATTGATAGCTAAATTCTTATATTTAAAAAGTTACCTGTATGGGCAGCATGTTTAGCTAGAGGTACAGAAGACCAGGCCATTAGTGTTTCAGGAGAGCCCAGAGATTAGTCAGGATCAGGGATCTCCTGTGTTACACAAAGTGCAAAGTTAAGCCCAGCCTTCCAAAGACAACACCAACACTTAGTTTTGCATGCTGTGGCTGAACATTTATCCCCATCAAAGTCAGTAGCAAAATTCCAGCAGAGACCTCCTGAAGAAAACCAGCATAGGTTTCTAAGCCCAATTTCAGTTAAAGATGAGAACCAGCCTCGTACCTCTTCCTCATCCCCATTTCAGAATTGCCAGCAGCTTTATGATGGATTTCCTCAGAGTTTATTAAAGACCCAACCCCAAGTCTTCCTCTGCCTGATTCGGGCATGGGACTGGAACCTTGGTGTACCTGTGGTTCAAGCCGTTCTTTTTCCCTATGGACAACCAGGTGACGGTCTTCACATCAAAGTGGAAGCCAAGGGCTCCTGAGTCGTAGCCTGGTACTAATTTCCTTTCCCTTTGTAGCATTAGCCAGGACAGTTTTTATCACCTAGTGATGTAAGAGCAAGCCTGCGAGACATTTCTAGAAGAAACATACATTGCACTGCCACTGTAATTGTTCTTCTTTAAAGTAATTCCTTTGCAGTTTCATAAAACCAAGTCTTTTGCTGTCTTTTCTTCTAGAGAGTGTCATCATTCACCAGTTACGCATGAACTCTAGATGAGTTACCGCCCCACTATATGCTCTCTGTGTGCACTACCCTTCTTGCCAGTTGGACGGATCACTGTTGAAGCTCTCTACCATCGACACCAGGGTCACTTGTGCTACTGATTATTCGTGGAAGTATTTATCGCTTCCATGAGATTTTATATATTTTTTTCTTGGTAGAGCTTTAAGGATGAAGGGCCTTGCTGATATTTTGGAAGTACAGAGTCAGAGAGAGAGAGAGCAGCAGTCTTTCTGCCAGCTGAATTTCACTTTCATTTGCAAATCCTAAGGCACGTGCTTGATTTTGTTTGATGTTTGCCATATAATTTATTTTTATAATACACTTTGTAAAGTCACTGTCCTGAAGTTGCAATTCCTGTTGTCCATGGCGCATTTATTTGTAGAATACACTGTCAAATTCCAAATTTGAATATTTTTGTAAGAGAGAGTATGTAAAGAAAGAAAAATTTAACTTCAACAATGTTTTGTGTTTAAATGGAAAAATGTTCAGTACATTTTTTTGCTACCATGAGATTCTGTAAGACTAAATACTCTGAAGACTGCTGTATGGAATTTGTACTATTGCAGAATATTTCTCGCACTGTGTGATGGTTTGGCATAAATTTAAGTATTAAAGTCCAATGCCTTGAAATACAACCAGATTTACTCATTTTAAACAAAGTAAGCCGATTTGTAAAGCTGTGATTTCTGTTTTCTATATATAACGTATGTTTTTACTTCTGCCTGTACCAAAAAAAGTTGATTTTCATTACACTGTAACTAATAAATTTTCACAACTATGCAAATGTAATCAGGTGTTTGAATTTTAACTCTTAATTTCTTAAGGTTGACAGTTCTCACATATGTATTTGTTTACAGGGGCAGGATGTATGCCTCTGGCAGTCCCTTTTTCAGACTGTTATTTCACTGCAGTATCACAGTACATGGTAAAACTGATTCAGATGTTGACATAAGGGAAGGGATCTATCGCCAACGCTGCGCTTTCACTGCGTTGGCAGAGATGTCCGGTTGGTACGATCGGGATATTTACTCCGGGGGTAACAGGACTGTGTAAGTGAGATGCCATGCACCGAAGGGCGCAGTTTACACTGGTGGCTGTAGCTTTTCACATAGCATCCAGAGAGTTCTGTGGCAGCTACAGTTAAAGTGATTTTTGAATGGATTATGTATAAAGCCGGATACAAGTCGGGCAGGGCCTTCTTTTCTTATACGTTTCATAATGAATTATTTTTAATCTAAGTCATTGGCACATATTTAAAATACTGCGGATTTTTTAATTGCAGAAGCTACTGGGAGAAACTGATTTTTGGAAGGGAAAACAGTGTTGCTTGCAGGAGATAAGCTGTGGGACGCCAGAAATAGTGCATTAACTCAGCGTCCCACGGAGATGAGGAGGCGAGTTCATCTTTGAAGCTTTAATAATGCACTGCTGTGTAGTCAATTTGATCTTCATGGTTTAGTTTGCTTGCCAGCCGTGGGAGCTGTGTTGGGTTTTTTTTTTAGATAGGAGTTCTGCAGCAAATGCTGACATTGTAGAGCGGTGGAATATTCTGGGCGCTGTACAAACTTCCTTGGAGGTGATCGGCATTGTAAAGAGTTTGTTAAGACATCTATACTGAGTAATCAAAACAAATGCTGTTTATCCTTGCAAAAGAGTTATTTTGTTGGCATATCCTATACTTCAACTGGTACACCAAGTTATTAACGAGTGGGTGGGCTTTTTTCTTATGGTAGACAGTGTATGCCATTACCATAGCTGTGTCTGCAGATCATATTCCAGAGTGAGTCAAGAAGATGCCCAGCTTTCAGAGAGTAATAATGATGAGGTGAATAAAGTTTCATGTGCACTACATTTACATTTACTGCGAAGGAGAATGAACTACGTAATGACCCAGACCTTCTATTTTCAAAGTATTACTTGAGAACCTTAACTATCCATGTTGAGAACTACACTGAACTCATCTGGAATGAAATGGCCAGCTATGTGAAAGTGACAGTAACATGCCTGAAGTAAACTTCAGCTTTTAAATATGGGTAAGATAGAAGTAAAATCTTATTCTGAAGTTGGTCTAGATTGAAAAGGTCCCAACCAAAGTAGAAAATACTTTTCCTTGTCTAGATTTTCATCTAAAGCAAATTCAGTATGAGCGTATGTATAAGTTGTCCCCTTTTGTTTTATAATTTCTAAGCAAATACATTTATGGTTTCGCAAATACATTAAGTTTTTAAGCTTTTAAAAAATGAAGGTTTGTTTAAAGCATAAATACAGTTGTGTTGTATTTGAAATAATTTAGAAGTTAAAATATTTTCAATGAATTGCAGTGCTTTGGAGTAGAAGACTGGTAATGCCAGTTAAAAATGATCCGTGGTGACATATGCTATTGCATGGCTGATAATGATTTATGTAAGTAGAATAATTCTGATCTGACACCTGGCAAGCAGCTAAAGTATTTCACAGAAATGCCCAGAGGGTAAAACTCACGTGTGCAAAGGATGCTTTGACAGGTGTGTTTCATCTTCAATGCATTTATGGTCCTGGTCAATTTTTTACATTACCTAAAACAAATAAGTAAGGAAAGTGCATTAGCCACATAGTTAGCCTGTATACTGGGTACACTCAGCAAGAAATCTATTAATATAGACTAAAGATGTGATAAACTTCTACAAGTATTGTCATTTTAAAGGAAATGATTAGGAAGTGCTTTCAAAGACACGGTAGAGGCTATCTTGGGCTAGAGATATCAGTACCTTTAAGCAACTGAAAAGCAGTGAAAGGCTTACTTTTCTCTTAAAGATCTCTTACTGTCTGAAGGGGACTGAAAGACCTGTGCTAGTATATGATGTTTCAGTCTATTAAAAAAAACTCACTTTGACTTCTAGAGGAAAACTCTACAGCCAGTGAGTTTTCCTTTTGCCTGACTGTGAAACATAACTGGACCAAAGAGGAGAGAAACTGCCCGTTTTGTAGAACCATGTCTAATGTAGACGACAAGATCTGAAATGGAGGTTTCTGCCCCGAATATTCCACCTCCTCCTGCGAATTGCTGGGTTTTATCTCTTCTTCTGAACGGTAGCATTTAGGTTGAAAAGTTCATATTTAATGCGTTATTATGTAGATTTTCTCCCTGAAATAATCTATTTCACAGTTAATGTATTTCATTTGCCTTGCCTGTTGTAAATATTAGTGGGTTTAACAGCGTAAGGTTTGATTCTTTAGATTCTATTTTTAAAGGTATTAATTGTTTACATCTTTCCTATAAGTGGACAATGTGATAGAAGAAGTGCCAGATGACGACCATTTTTGGGGCTTATCTATAATATAATTATATTATTATATATACAAAATATATTATTATATAATTCTAAAAGAATTATGGCCTA